GAGATCTGCCTCAGCCACTTTTTGGTTTACAAGCACTTGAGGGGATGGGAGGGGTGGTGGAGAAAGGCAAGTTTCCTGAGAAAGTAAAAACTCAGGGGGAAAAAAACCCTAAGCATTTACCAGAAAAAGAAGGAAGGAAATAACATTCCAAGATAAGGGAACAAGAACAAAGGCACAGAGGCAATATGGAGGATGAATGTAAAAAATGGGTGAGCAAACTGGGCTCGGTGGCTCAGCCTGTAATCCCACACCTTTGGGAGGCTGAGGTGAGTGGACTGCCTGAGCCCGCGGGTTCGAGACCCGCCTGGGCAGCGAGACCTCATCTCTACAATAAAAAAAAAAAAAAATCAGCCAGGCGTGGTAGTGCATGCCTGTAATTCCGGCTACTCGGAAGGCTGAGGCGGGAGGATCGCCGGAGTCCAGCAGGTAGAGGCTGCAGTGGCCGGGAGCGGCCACTGCACTCCAGTCTGGGTGACAGAGTGAGATTCCAACTCAAAAAAGAAAAGAAAAGAAAAGAAAATGGGTGAGCAGTTGATATACCGCGGAAGGGTAAGGTGGAAGAAAAGCAAGTTATGAATTAAGACTAAGTGGTAAGCAGGGGCTCCGGGGGAAAATGGGAGGTTTCTAAAGCAAGGGACTGGCCTGATTATATTTGTGTTCTTTGAAATGATCATTCTAGCTGCAGTGAGGAGAATGAACTAGAGAAATAGAGAAGAGCAAGGAAGCTCCTGCAGGAGTCCAGCCAAGACATGATGAGGGCCCCTGCTGGGGCAGAAACAGTAGAAGTAAACATGGGAAATGTATGCAAAATAGTTAAGTGTAAATGAATTAAAAAACAGTAAGTCTCGGCTACTGATTAGATATTGAGGCAGGCAGAACAAAACTGGATGTGAGAGGACAGGAAAAATTGATTTGAACCTCTAGTTCAGATTTCAACAAATGTTTTCCATAAAAGGCCAACAGTAAATATTTTAGACTTTGTGGCAACTACAGAAGTTCCCCCTAATCCATGGGGGATACATTCCAAGACCCTTGAACCATATATATATATATACTGTGTTTTGCCTATACATGCATAACTATAAGTTTAATTTATAATGTAGCATAATCAGATTCATATCAATAAAAATAGAACAATTATAACAATATACTGAAAGAAAAGTTATATGAATGTGGCCTTTCTCGCTCTCTCTCCCTTTCAAAATATCTCATTGTAGTATACTCAACTATTTTCAGTTCAAGGGTGACCACAAATAACTAACCTTGGAAAGCAAAATGGTGGATTAAGTACTCACTACTTTTTCTTCATTGTAATGCAAAACCTGCCATAGGTAAACTGGTATAGCTATTTTCCAATGAAATTTTACTTACAATCACATCCAGTGGACCAAATTTGGCCCCTGGGCCAAAGTGTGTCAATCCCTGCTCTAGCTGGATAGTAGATGGTGATTCCACTAACTCAGTAATTTTCAACCTTGGCTGCACATTAAACTCACATGGGAAATTTTAAAAACTTCATTTTCCAGGCCACACCACATTATACCACATGCCAATTAAATTAGAATATCTAAAGGGAGACCCAGGCATCAGTAGTCTTTAAAGTCCACCAGGGCCAGGCGTGGTGGCTCATGTCTATAATCCCAGCACTTTGGAAGGCTGAGGTTCGAGACCAGCCTGGGCAACTTGGCGTGATCTTGTCTCTACAATAAAACAAAAAATTAGGTGTGGTGTCGTGCATCTGTAGTTCCAGTTACTTGGAAAGCTGAGGTGAAAGGATCACCTGAGCCCAGCAGGTAGAGGTACAGTGGCCGTGAGTGTGCCACCGCACTCCAGCCTGGGTATAGAGTGAGACTCCAACTCAAAAAACAAAACAAAACAAAACAATGAAGCCCACCAGGTAACTTCAATATGCAGCGAAGGTCGAGAACCACTATATGAATTCCTGGATACTATTGAAAAAGAGTTCAGAAGCAAAAATGAAAAACTCAGTTTTGAACATATTGAGTCCTAATGGGTCTACAAGATATATCCAGCAGAGATTCTAAGCAGGTAGAGATACTAAATACAAGATTACAAGGGCCTGAAGCTCAAGGGAGGGTCTAGACTAGGGACAAATCTGAGAGGCCGCAGCAGGTACACAGGTGTTATTCATTGAAACCTTGAAAGCTGATGAAGCTACTCTAGAGAACACACAGTGGGTCTGTGCTCTGGGAAACAACGTTTAAAAGGCAAACTGGTATCTGTGGTGTTGGTGCAATGAAAAGCTAGAAGCAGGTGTACAGGACTGATTGTGTTCATATACAGGTAAATATTACCTACACATCCATACAAAACACATCATTCAGACTTAATCATAAATACCAACAGTGAGGAGATGAATAGCCATTAGCATAATGGCCTTTTATTTATGCCAATAAATACTACTGAAGAGGCTACTGAGAGAAATCAGTACCTGGACTGGGGAAAGATAAATCATCTGACTGTATTCATTATTTTTTCCTGTGTGATTCTATTTCCTAAAAATAAAGGTATTTTCAGAAGCCCTGCCAAGTAGCCAACATCACATTAATTACTGATTTGTCCAACCAAAAATACACAAAATAAGTATGTATGGTGATGAGGCTGTCTCGTTTTAACAATGCTAGGATGCTGCATAGGTTACACTGGTATAGTAGAAAAATTTATCATAATTCACTGTAGAAATCTAATTTTAAATTTCAAAATAGTACATGTAATTTGTGGAAAGAGTTCCTACAAGTTTCTAAAAAAAAAAAAAAAACTCAATTGATAACCAAGTTGATTTAGAAAGATGAAAAATGGGAAACATGACAAATTTAAATTCATGGATACAGGTCCAAGATGAATAATGATAAAATTCTAAAATGGGCCTATTAATAATTCTGTTCTAAAGGAAAGGACACATGGAAATTAAACAATTAAATTAATAATTGTATGGTGATGCTCAAAAGTTTTTGTTGTTGGAGAAAACCCATGCACTAAATCAATAACAAATGAATCAAAAGATGGATTGCATTGTACTCTTGAGCTAACTTAAGTAAACATTTCAAAATTTAAAAAAATATTATCCTGTTTTCTTACCTCATCATTTTCATTGCCACTTGAACTCTTCCTCGTTGATTTATACTGAAAAATATTTAAAACACATACTTTATCTTTCCTTGAATTCTCTAAGTAAATTATATGTGAGGTTTATTACTATTTTGGTAAATTTATTAAGCTATCTGATACTAAATTTAAGTATATAATAAGTTTAAATAGTCCCACTACTAATAGCTAAAATCTATAATGATTTCTATGTGCAAGCATTGTCCTAAGTACTTTATAAAGATCAAGAACATTTCTTTCCTCAACCAAGCCCACTCCCATTTATTCAGTTTTACACTCTGATGGTAATCTTAGTCTTCATATTTCTTTTTTAGAGACAGGGTCTCACTCTATCACCTAGGCTGCAATAAAGTGGTTTGATCACAGCTCACTGTAACCATAAGCTCCAGGGCTCAAGGGATCCTCCTGTCTCAGTCTCCCAAGTAGCTGGAACAACAGGTGTGTGCCACCATGCTGGGTTAATTTTGTTTTACTTTTTGTAGAGACAGGGTCTTTCTATGTTGCCCAGGCTGGCCTCGAGCGATCTTGCCACCTCAGCTCCCCAGTGCCACTTCAGCTTCCCAAAGCACTGGGATTACAGACATGAGTCACCATGCTTGGCCCTTCCTTTTTCTTAATTCACTATATACATTATATCATCAAGTCAATTATTTTCACAATCTCTCTCAGACTTACCGCTTCTGAATTCTAAAAACTACCACCCTATTTGTGACTCTCATTATCTTGCAACTGGTCTATAATCTCACCGTTCTAAGATGTCATCTATTCTTAAGAAACATACTACTTCCATGCCCAAGATCAATTAGTTAAAAAATAATAATTAAGAAATAAATAAGCCTACTGCCCTTGGGTTAAGAAAACATTACATTAAATGTACATATTGACTGTACAATAATTGTAACAATGCTTACTATATGCCAGGCACTTATTGAAGTGCCTTACATATATAAACCCATTTAATCTTCATAGCAACCCTATGAGGTAAGTACTATTATCCCTGTTTTACAGTGAGACAGAGATAATATGCTCAATATAAAAAATTTCTAACATATGAAAAAATATGTCTTAGAATCAAGAAAATACAGTATGAAAACGACTGAACTTGTTACTTCTGACTCCTTCTCACTGCAAAAGATCTTTCAGACCTGTGGAAGATTAACCTTCTGTTTGCAACTCATGATTGCCCTGTTGAAAAATCTACTAATTTTCAGATTATATTCAAACTTCTTTGCCTGGCAGTCAAGGTTCTATTTTATGGTCCCCTTTGCATAGGCAGCATTATCTTCTATAACCCGTGGGAAAACAGATATCCTACCTGATATCTCAACCACAAGCTGGAGAGTGTGTTGTATGAGGGATTATAAATACAAGGCATACATTCCTCCACCATCTCTCCTATGACAACTACCACTAATTAACCAGCATGTCCTTTTCAGCAGATTCCACACAAAGCCTCAATATGCTCTCAACCTAGTGTTCCAGAGAGCCACTGAATGAAATTGGCATGTTTGGAAAAAAATCTATTTGCCATCCATAGGCAAGGCACTCACTGAAGTCCCTTATTTTTGGTTCTATTCTACTTCAATTAAACAGTGACAACTAAATGAATACTGTGCTTATATTTATTAAATGCTCACTCTGCATCAAGTGCTGTTTTAAACACTTTATATTATTAAATAATGTAAAAGTAACAATCATGTGAAGGAAGGTACAGGCATATGTATTGCATTCTGTGCTTTATTGTGCTTCACAGACATTGTGGGGGTTTTTTGCTTTTTTTTTTTAACAAATTGAAAGTTTATGGATACTCAGCAATGGCCCCTGTGCAGACCACATTCTGGTTGCTGGTGGGTCTCACTTGCTTTCTCACAACCATGTCTGACACACCCGATACGGGTGAGATAGAGAAATTCAATACGTCAAAATTGAAGAAGCCAGAAACACAAGAGAAAAATCTACTGCCTTCCAAAGAAATGGTCAAACAGGAGAAGCAAGCAGGAGAATCGTATTGAGGCATGCACTGCCTATATTCAGTGTTCATTTCACAAGCACTGCGTTATTTTACTTCTTTTAGTTGTTTAACTTTGTATGGTACAAAGAGTTTGAAACAAATATAAATGACTGTGCTGCCCCTTTCACATAAAAGAATAGAGAACTCCTGACAATGAAGATTCCACCTATCTCTCCCATCTGCCTGCACGGCTGGCAGGGAAGGAAAAGAACTTGCATGCTGGTGAAGGAAGGAGCAGAGTAGAACATCAGTGAAATCCAGAATAAAACCAAGCTGGCCCAAGGTGTCTTATAGTCTGTAAAAATCAGTTTAATTAGAATGCCATTTTTTGTTCAAATGATGTTAATTATTAGAATGTGACATTTTAAAGTATGAAAGTGAAACAATTAAACCCGAAAAAAATAGGTCTGCAGAAACCCTGCATCAAACAAGTCTATCAGTCCCATTTTTCCAACAATATGTGCTTACTTTGTATTTCTGCATCACATTTTGGTGATTCTCACATTTCAACCTTTTCAACTATTATATCTGTTATGGTGATCTGTAGTCGGTGATCTTTGATGTTACTATTATAGTTGTTTTGGGGCAACATGAACCACGTCCATATAAAAGCGTGAGCTTAATATTTGTTGTGCCTATTCTAACGGCTCACTAACTGGCCATTCTCCTGTCTCTCTTCCTGAGTCACAAAAATACTGAAATTAGGTCAATTAATAATCCTACAATGGCCTGTAAGTGTTCAAGTGAAAGACTCATATGTTTTTCACATTAAATCAAAAGTTACAAATGATTAAGCTTATTGAGGAAGCTATGTCAAATGCAGATATAGTCCAAAAGCTAAACTCCTTATGCCAACGTTAACCAAGTTGTGAAAGCAAAAAAAATTATTGAAGATTAAAAGTGCTACTCCAGTGAACATTTCAATGACAAGAAAGTGAAACAGCCTTATTGTCGATATGAAAAAAATATTAGTGCTCTGATTAGAAATCAAACCAGTCACAACATTCCCTTAAGCCAAAGCCTAATTCTGAGCAGGGCCCTCTCTTAAATTCTATGAAGACTGAGAGAAGTGAAGAAGCTGCAGAAGAAAAGTTGGAAGCTAGCAGAGGTTGGTTCATGAGGTTTAAGGAAAGAAGCCATGTTCATGATATAAAAGTACAAGGTAAAGCAACAAGTGATGATGGAGAAGCTGCAGGAAGTTATGCAAAAGATCTAGCTAAGATCATTGACGAAGGTGATTACACTAAACAACAGATTTTTCAATGTGGACAAGCAGCCTTCTATTGAAAGAAGATACCATTGAAGAATTTCACAGCTAGAAAGGAGAAGCCAACGTCTGGCTTCAAAACATCAAAGGACAGGCTAACTCTCTTATTAGGGGCTTATAAGAGAGTTGCTGCTGGCTCTAAGTTGAAGCCAATGCTCATTTACCATTCCAAAAATCCTAGGGCACTAAAGAATAATGCTGTCTACTTTGCCTGTGCGCTATAAATGGAACAACAAAGCCTAGACGACAGCACATCAGTCTACAGCATGGTTTATTATGTATGAGGGGAGACCCAAAAAATCCCAGAATTTATTTATTAAAAAATTGTGTATTTATACCTACATGTTTAAGCTCCAGTCACCTTCAAAGTATTTTCTATTTGATGCAATACACCTATCAAGACACTTTTTCCACGGCTCAAAACACTTTTTGAACTCATCAATTTTGATGCTGTTTAGTACTTCTGCCGCTTTTTGTTTCACCTATTCCACATTGGCAAAATGTTTTCCTTTTGTGACTTTTTTCATTGGGGAAGCACCAAAAAAGTCACTTATGGTGAGATGGGTGAATAGGGAGGGTGGGGCACGGGGGTCACGCTGTTTTTGGTCAAAACTGCTAAATATGCAGTGTAGTGTGGGCAGGTTTTTTGCATAAATCATCCATCATGAGATGGGCAAAAAAGTTGAAAAAAATCTTCAAAAAATATTCACTGAAGCCAAATGCAGCCTCTCACAACAATGCTAGCTGGTACACTGATGCTGATGGGTTCCTAGAACATTTACCTAGCAGAGAAAGCCTGTATTACAAGAGGCCCATCCTCCAAAAAATAATTCCAGTTTTTGGGGGTTTCCCCTTCGTATTTTAAGCCCACTGTTGAGACCTACCACACAGAAACAAAGATTATTTTCAAAATATTACTGCTCATTGACAATGGGTCTGATCATCCAAGAGTTCTGATGGAGGTGTACAATGAGATTAATGTTGTTTTCATGCCAACACAACATCCATTCAGCAGCCCATGGATGAAGGAGAAATATCAATTTTCAAGTCTTATAATTTAAAAAACACATTTTGTAAGGCTATAGCTGCCAGCGATAGTGATTCCTCTGACATATCGGTATATTGAAAACCTTTGGAAAGGATTCACTATTCTATATGCCATTAAGAACATTTGTGATTCATGAAAAGAGATCAAAATATCAACATCAGCAGGAGTTTGGAAGCAGATGATTCCAACCCTCATGGGCGACTTTGAGGGGCTCAAAACTTCAGAGGAGAAGTCATTGAAGATATCGTGGAAATAGCAAGAGAACTAGAATTAGAAGTGGAGCTTGAAGATGTGACTTAATTGCTGCAATCTTATGATTAAACTTGAACAGATGAAGAGCTGCTTCCTATGGAGGAGCAAAAAAGTGGTGCCTTGAGAGGGACTCTATGCCTAGAATATTCCATAAACTTATTTGGTAAAATACTGGCAGGGTTTGAGAAGATTGACTCCAATTTTGAAAGAAATTCTACTGTGGGTAAAATGCTAGCTAACAATATCACATGCTACAGAGAAATCTTTCAGAAAAGAGGAGTCAATTGATGTGGCAAACTTCATTTTGTTGTCTTATTTTAAGAAATTGCCACAACCACCCCAACATTCAGCAACTATTAGATGCTATACGAACAAAAACATTGTAACTTGTTGAAGACTCAGAGGACAGTTAGTATTTTTTTTTTAGCAATAAAGTATTTTTAAATCAAGGTATTGGCATTTTTATACATAATGCTACTGCATACTTAATACACCACAGTACAATGCAAACATAACTTCTATATGCATTGGAAAACAAAAAGCAATCATGTGACTCAACTTATTAAGGGATTAGCTTTAATACAGTGGTCTGGAACCAAACCCACAATATATCCAAGGTATGACTGTAATATTATACTCTGTGGAGATTTTTAAAAAAAAAAACTAAGCTTAGTTAAGGTTACATGACTTGCTAAAGTCACAGTCAGTAGGTATTCAATAAGGACTGGAACCCAAGTGGTTTGATTTTAGAAGCCCAGGCACTATGCTATAGTGTCATCCCTCTATATCTACAAGGGACTGGTTCCAGGACATGCCCTCCCATACCAAAATCCACAAATATTCATGTCCCTTATATAAAATGGTGTAGTATTTGCATATAACCTACTCACATCCTCCTGTACACTTTAAACCTTCTCTAGAATACTTATAATACCTAATACAATGTAATGCTATGTAAATAGCTGTTATGTTATATTTTTAATTTTTATTTTTGTTAAATTATTATTTTTATTCTTTTTTTCCCAAATATTTTCAGTCATGGTTGGTTGAATCTGTAGACGTGGAGTCTGCAGCTATGGAAGGTTGACTATACTACCATTTCTGAATCCTGAATAATTAATAGGAATATGCCAGGAATAAAAGGGCTAATGTGCACTCTCAAAAAAGGGAAAACACAAAGAAATAAAAGAGTGCAGCCTATGTAGAAAACAGAGTAGTTCAATGAGGCTAGTGAGGAAAGTGAATTATGACAGCTAATGAAATATAGAGAAGCAGGTAAGGAATGGTCTATGAAGATTTTGAGAGTTCAAACTTTGTCCTATTAGTAATGAAGAGCCAGTAAAGAGATTTTTGATGACTTATAGTTTTATTTTAAAGAGTATTTTCTCATGTGTTCTGGTAATTATTTTTTATTGATACATAATTATTGTACATATTTGTGGGGAACATGTTATATTTTGATACATGCATACAATGTGTAATGATCAAATCAGGGTAATCAGGATATCCATCACCTCAAACATTTCTCATTTCTTTGTGTCAGGACCATTTCAAATATTCTCTTCTAGGTATTTCGAAATACTTAATAAATTATTAACTATAGTCACCCTATAATGCTATCAAATCCTAGAACAAAGAAATTTAAAACCAGGGATTTATCCAAAGGCTGTGAAAAAGAGACCATTAAGAAATTGTTACAATTATAATACTTTAAGAAAGAGATTGGCAGTAGTGGGAAACTGCCAGGGGAGGGGGGGATGAGATTGGCAGTTGAGGGAAACTGCTGGGGAGGGAAGGGCTCACCTCATCAACAAGGGTACCTGCATAATCAACGTTTGTATACCTAACCCTGAATTGTACCCCACATCTTTATAATAAAAAAAGAAGTTGTTACAATTGCCAAAACAAGAAAGTATGAGGCTTTCAACAAAGATAAGGCAGTATAGATGGAGATACATGAGAGAAAGGACATATAATTAACAAAGCTGGTAACTAATTAGGTGAGGGGAATGAGAAAGAGAAAGAATCAAAGACTGAGCTACAGAGTTTAGACAACTGGGTAGACATTGCTACCATTATCTAAAATAAAGAACAGAGAGGAAGACCAAATTCCATAGTAGAAGGTGGGGGGGCATGTTGAATTTGAAATACATGCAGGACACCCAAACAATTAGAAACATAGGTTTAGAGAGCAGAAAAAAAGCTATGGGAAATAAATTTAGAATCAGCAGAATATAAGAAACATTTGGAGTCATTAACATTCTAGAAGGAGCATTTTAAAGTAATAAAAAGAAGATGAGACCCTAAGAGCAAGTAGAGGACAAGTTAGACAATAACATAAAAAAATAACAGAAAAAATTGGGGGGGGGTGAGGTAGAAACCAAAACAGACGTTTCAAGAAGAATGTGGTCACCGTTATCAAATGCTATACTGG